ACCACGACATGCTCGGAATTTGCTCCAAGCTGTCTTCTTCACCCCAGCTCCATGGCAAATGGAGCACCCAAGCCCTGTTTGCTCCACTTTAAGCCAGGGGAAGTCAGTGGACCATTCATTCCAATGCTTCCAAACATGCTGGTTCCAATCCTGAGACAAGTGACCACCCAGCATACGAATGTTGCTGGCACCTCGCAAATCATAATTTAGACTAGATTCCACCCAAGAGGTTCCCCAGAGCTTCGACATGGCTCCCAAGGTGGAAAGGTGCAAGGAAGTCTAGTCTGGATTTACAACTTGACTAAGTTGTCAATGTTGAAGTGGAATTGAAACTGTCAGTGGAATCAGTCTGTCCATTGGTTTGAGAAGTCAGTCCATCGCGGCTTCTTGATTGAACTTCAACTACAACCACTGGCAGTCCCCACCGCCAGTGAATTAATTTGAGTAGCTAAATGCCACTGGGAAAACATTAATGTCTCCAAATCTGCTGAAAGTGCACCGCCAATCCTGAGGCATCCGGCTGGCGCTGCTCCAGCCGCCGCCAGCGTCCACGGCAGCGGCAGCGATCAACCCCCCTTTGGGGGGCTGTGGTTGGGTTTTGGATGGTTTGGGGGTCTGTGGGTATTGTCATGTGGGTAATGTGGTGTCCTGTTGAGTTAATCTGCAGTCCATGAGGATCGAGATTGGGCAGCAGAAAAAATAGGAAAAAATACAGGTTACTATTGAACTATCTTAACAGAAGGCCAGAAATAGAGAGATCACCTCATTGAACCTGGACTGCAAAATCAATTTGATACCAAGGACCAGTCCGGCGTTTGAGTTTAGGTCCATGCTCCGGCGCTTTCCAACCCTGGGACGGCTGTACTCAAGGTCATAGGCCACAGCAGACAGCCCAACAAGTTCAGCCATTTGGGCCACTCTGCCAACACCTGAAAAGAATTCAATCATCCCATAGCCATGGTTGATGTCTCCTTCATCGGGGATCCAGCTTACGAGTAGGACCAACAGAATCATGACCTGGGCCAATTTGCTATCTAGCTCAAACACAACAACTTTTGAGTCTTTGAGTCAATTAATAATTAATCTATTTGCGTTGCATACAGGCCACTTTTGGGACCCCAAGAGCAAAAAGACGCTTGAAGAAGATATCCAGCTCAGCGGGTCCCATGGCAGCCGCCCTAAAGCCCAACAAACTAGGTTTCGAGCTTGAAAAGATCCTCTTGTAATGAATCTGTATCTCAGGCAATTCCAACGCTGCTGGGTCACTCTAGTGTTTGTTCCTCTCACCACATTGCAAAAGAAGTTGGTTTCGATTCATGCACGTGCACGGAAGACGCCTGGGAGATCAGCAGGGCTTGCCCCCAGCCCCAGCTTCGCCAGGCCAATCTGACCTCTACGAGGGCCATACATGACCTGGCCGCTTCAAGCAGGAGTGGGAAGGGGCACCTGGAATTCCCTAAGAGAGCAGGGAGCGGTTGGGCATGCGGGCACTCCTTTTCACAGACCCCAAGTTCCCAAGTAGCTGATTCACGAGTGGACGCACTCGTGTTGCATGGCCATGCATTCATTACATGGTATTGCTTGCGCCGCATTTGGCACACTAAGCCCCAAAAAGACCAGCCAGAGGTTTTAAAAAACACATACACATGGAGGGTGACGCTTGTGACAGTATGTTCACTTGAGAGAGGAGGGGGGTGAACGAAAGGTAGCAGGGAATCAGGCGTAATCCGGGAGGAGGTGAGAGGCCCCCCACTTGTTTGAAGAGAAGTGAGTGAGCGTGATGAAAGAAAATCTAATGCACAAACGCTTGACAAAACCTCCAGAAGCTGTAGCGGTCTAGCGGTTTCAATACAGGTTGACGTGCCTTCAAAAGGAGTCACATATTTCTCAAATGCAACTTCGGATTTACATAGTGACGTGCGGCGACCCTGTAAATTGCGTGGCCGCAGGCCATGCTTGCAAACAGGACGTGCTCAAAAACACTGGTATTTACGAGGTTTCGTTGCCGTCGATCCACAGCCGCGGCAAGGTCTAAGGCCACGCTTGAAGACAGGAGGAGCTGAAAACACTGGTATTTACGGTGTTTTGTAGCCGTCGATCCAAAGGCGCACCACGGTTGAGCGCTGGAAAAGCGCAGAAAACCGTGTAAATACCGGCGTTTTCTGCCGGGAAGGTGCACAAAACCCTGAAAATACCATAGTTTTGTGCAATTTTGAAGCCTCCAAAAGCCTCAAAAACCCTTTCTGACAAAATCTTTCCTGGCTTTGGGTCTTTTTTCGGTCATTTTTCTAACCGAGACGCATCAAAAACCATCGGTTTTTGCGGTGTTTTTTGCCGGACAGCCACAAAAAACGCTGTAAATTCCATGATTTTTGGTCACTGCTGAGGACTGGAAGAGCTGACGGTTGACCCCGAGGCGCGCTAGGGTGGAGTTGAAAGGGAGGGGGGGGCCCCCCCCCCC